AAAGTGCAGATTAAATAGCAGAGATTAAATTCTATATTTAATGAATGAACATAATATTTGGCTTGGTGACTTTCACTTGTCTGCTCAATTCTTGTTAACACAGCACAATCTGATAGTGAAGGATAGTAATGCCGTTTGTTTTCCTTCTTTCTTTATAATTGTGATTTAAAATGCAAACATTTTTCAAACTGTTTTAGTAATTGGATGTTCATAAAGTTGCAACTCTCCCTTTCCCTGGAGGAGAAAATATTACAGCCACTTAAATGAGTTACTTGAATCAACAATTGCATGCACTTAATGTTAAATACAAAGTACTCAAACTGTGCAGTCACTTGGATCTCTCCCAAATATTATGGTAATTACACAGTAAAATGTATGAATGAAATCACAATCTGGGGCTGAATGAGCATGAACCTGTTTTATTTCGTTCAGGTACAATGAATTGCTGTTCATTATTGATACTTGTCAAGGAGCATCCATGTATGAACGATTTTATTCTCCTAATATAATGGCCTTGGCTAGTAGCCAAGTAGGAGAAGATTCACTTTCAGTAAGTATCTGTTTTGATATTTTCAGTGTTCAAGGGATCTAGGATGATGAGGCCTATTTGGCTCTCTGAAAATCTCCCTCAACTGCTTAACTACAGGAAGCTGTGCTCAAAATTATCACTTGCATGAGTCATTAACATCTGTACTTTTCTCTTGTTCTGTTGTGTTGCCCCAAAGAATTAGGATGACATTAACCAAGCTAATCTGAGCCTGAGCTAGTATGTTTAATGCCTTTTTTAAGCCAGACTGCACACATGAGTGTGATGTGGCTAGCATTGTTTCTGGCCACCCTTGGCTCTTCAGCCTGCCTGACCAGGTCTCCATTTCTAGCTGAGTTAATTGGGGACCACCTGTGGTATGAGTCTGGAGCAGGCCTTGAAGATCTCTTGCTTCTGGCACCATAGTGAAACTACTTGACCACTCTGTCAGAATGCCCCAGAGCCAGACTAATGCACATCACTCTCCTACTTGACAGTGAATCTTCCATTTCAAATTTTAAAAAATGAATTAACACAATTAAGAAATATCTTTGCAAGTATGTAAGAATAGAAAATAGAACAGTACGACTCGTTGTACAGAATATACTGTGTTTGAGGACAGATGTTAGTCGCCTTCCTTTCACCAGTGGTTGGCTTTAGCTGCATCTTTTTTGACACAGGCTGAGAGAGGACACGTCTCAAAAGAATATTTTATTCAATAACTTGGTTAATGTTTAAAGGTGGTGAATACCCACAACCCAAGTAACATTAGTCAGGCCTGAAATATAAAGGGATAGTGGGGGAGAATGATCCGTTTACATTTTGGTGGTGGTGTCCATGGTCAAGATGGAGATCTCCAGTGGCAGGTCAGGAAGTCTTTGAGGACAGACACAGGCAGAAGGTCTGAGGGAATGCTGGTGTGATGTGTAAGGGGGACATGCTGTATAAGGTTTTCCCGCTGCCAAAGGTGAAATATGCACTGTTCACTTTGCCTGCAGTACTTTGTGCCAGACCCTGAGAGGGGTGAGGGATCAGGGCTCTGATCACGTGCCTACCACAGCTGGTCCCCCTGCACCAGGAGCCAAGTGGTGCTCACAGACAAGCAGGCTTTCCTCCCCATATTTCGATTCAGGAATACTACTGGCAGCATGCAAATGTAATTTGGCATTTGTGCATTAAGGAAAAAGGTTCCTTGTTTCCTGGCAAACACAGGACTAATCAGAGTATAATTTCAAAAGGTGAATATAATGCATAGTATACAGATTGATGTGCAAGTATATCCTTTCAGAGCTAGTAGTTTTCCTTGCATGCTGTTGATAATTTGATGAAGCATAAAAGGAGTACGCTGTTTACTTGAATCAAAGATTTAAAGATGATCCTCCAATAATTAGATTCTAGACATAAACATGTATAAATTTGTAATAATTTTTGTTGTCTAGGGTCTAATTTTTGGAGGGTTGTCTTAAGTTTGTTACTCCCCCTCCCCACCCTGCAGCAGGAGAAATAACAGGAGTGGGGAAGGTAGAGTGGGGGTTAAGTGGCCTGACTCTTCCTATTGTCACCTGGCCTTCCCCCTCCAGTGTCTGTGCACCCCACATTTGCCACTGTGGTGCCTGTACCCTCTTCTCCCCACTGCACCTTGCATTCCTTCCATTTGTCCCCCCTCCCATTTCCCTTCCCGTGCTTGTACCCCCTGTTTCCTGCCCCTTCCCTTGTTGTCTGCATCCCTAGCCACCTCTCTTTCTTCCCCCCCATCTTACCTTTCCCTGCAGCTCAGGCTCATGCTTGGGCTTTGCTCTAGCCAGGGGCAGGGAATATAGAGCAGATGCTGCCTCTGGCACCAGCCCAGCCACACAGCAGTTTTAGCCCTGGCCCCAGACCTGCTGCTGTGTGGCAGGCTGGGGCCAGAGGCAGGACATGCACTGTACTGGAATGGGACCCCAGGAGGAGCTGGAGCTGTGAGAGGAGGTAAGTGGCAGTGGGGAGCAGAGGCTGCAGAGAGGGGAGGGCGCTGCAACTGTGGCTCCAACTCTGATTCTGGGCTCAGGGTTGCAGTGTTTGCTGCAGGAGCCTCCAACTTCCCCCAAAACTTATATTTGAATCTAAGACGAGGACTTTTTCCCCCATGTTGATTGGGGGAAAAACCTTTTTGTAGTTTTGAGTAAATACAGTATACAGGCTTTGCACTTACTGATGCTATTTTGCTGTGTTTCCATTGTCAAATACCATTTTCCCTTTACACTGTTCAGTGAGTGTGTGTTTGTTTTTAAGCATCAGCCTGACCTTGGGATCGGCGTTCACCTTATGGACAGATACACGTTTTATGTCTTGGAGTTTCTGGAAGAAATTCACCCAGCTAGCCAGACAAATATGAATGACTTAGTAAGTAGCATACTGTATATTTTTTAATTTGCCAACTACTGTGTTCTTTAAATCAATCCATTTTGTCCATGGGATCTCTTCAATGCTCTTTTTCTTACCCTACACCTCAAAGAATTTGTTTGGTAGAATCACTGTAATTTGTCCCACAGTGTGAAAAAATGGATGTACTTGCAAGCTGTCTGGATTCAGTACCTGGCACAGTGGTTGCTTTGCAGGTGTGGATAAAGTCATTGGCATTTCCTTGGCAGAAATGTTGGCAGAATATGTTGAAATGCTAATCCTTCATTCAAAATCAGATGGACAGACCTCTACAGAGCCCCACTGATTGCCTTCCATATCTGCATAGGTGGAGAGTCAGCCTATAAAAATTCAATTCCATGTTTTAGGCTTTATATGAAGAAAAAAAAAAAAAGCTGGATAAAATATAATGAAAATTCTTTTTGACCTGCTAGGTATGTACCCCCTTGAGACACTACATCAAAAAGTAATCGGATTTTAGCAGCTCTTTCTACTGGACAGGTCACGTACTCCTCATGGTAATGCATTATACTTTGGTGCCTTACAGCTGTAAATTCTGACATGCTGTGTCAGTGACTTAAGAGCCAGCAGTGACCACGCATTAAATCTCCAATTCATTTCAGTAAAAGGAGCAGCTGTTCAAAAGTTTTATGCCAATATCCATCTATGGGAGTTAGTGTCAGCTTTGCTGTTAGAGGAGATGTAGTAGATTTCGCATTAAGTAGCCCACGCTGAC